GTTTACTTGTTACTATACCAATAATATTTATTTCAATAACATATTTACATATTATATTCATTACCTCATCGGTCTCTTAGACAGTACATATGGCTGAGATTTTCCGTGTTAGTCTTTCTTACTAAAATAGCCAATCTAATCAGACAATTATCTATATATTATAACGTAAAGTCATCTTCCAATCGATCTCTCATAATCATGTCATTGCCAACTCATCAGACTGTGAGGTATAAAATATAGCGATCATTGTGTTTATGCACAAACATGTAGATCGTAATAATATCTTCGGCGTACCGTCGCTGAAATTGGTTAGAATAATATTATTATAAGAGGTCGTCAGTGCGGTCCCTCTCGGGATACAAAGTTTTAAGCCATTCAAAATCTTCAAGATAAAATGTTGCAAAGTAACATACGTCCGTAATGGAGTTATATGGCTACTTTCCGTTTCCTACTTACTGCAGTAAAATTTAATCGCTATGTTATCTCCGGTCATTCTACAAAGATAGCATGAAGCTATTTTTAAGCTAACGAGCGTACCTAATTGCCTGAAAGATGTGAAAAAACAAATTTGGCGAGACCAATATTTGCCTTACACAGCTAACAATCTAAAAGTCCATTCTGCCCTCACAATTTGTGCCCTGACGGGGCAGATTCAACTTTTTGCATCCACGTTAATTTGTATTTGACTCGTATAATATACGAGACACGCCTACTTGATTGGAAACCTTTTGGTCTTCAGCAATCACGATATTTACTGAACGCTTTATAATTTTTGACAAATTTAAGAAACAAAGTCGTCTACTATTCGGTGTGTGTTACTCGTATGAGTTTCATAATTTTATTTTTCAAGCACGATGAGATATTTATATAGATTACAAAAAAAATATTCCTCCGCTGAAATGGAATGTTTACTGTTAAAGTTATTATCATTTACAATTATTTAGTTTGATGACTTTGTTTTAATCTATACCTACGTATAATAATCTATACCGATAAATAAAATTTAAGTGTCCGTTTGTAATGTCAAAATAACAGTTTTTTTTTTCATATGAACGTATACACGGTATTTATAAGAAAAAAAAACACTTTTTAAAATTTTGCCTGCCTGTATTTTTGTTCTGGCTAATCTCCGTAATAGTTGGGCCGATTTTTATGGGACTTTCACTGACAGAGAGCTGATGTTATAAGGAGTAACTTAAGCTACTTTTATGTTAGAAAAAGGATAAGGGTTCCGCTCAAAAAAAATTAAAACATACCTACGGACGCATCCGAGTCAAGCCAGAGGCAAGCCAGAGCTAGTTAATAATAAAGTGTGTTTATTTAACATTTTTTTTAATTCTCTTCATAACTATAAAATGAGGAATTTATCAAATTCGCCGTTTATATTCTGTAAAGTAACTTATTTTCTAACTTATTTAGAACTTTAAAATTCATGATAAAATATATTTGCTGATAGAAACTGGCGCAAATATAACCGTTTGTTTATACAAAACATACACTCGATGAACCTTTGGGAAGTATGCAAAAGAAACTTAACCAACTACGTTTTCAATCTATCATTATGCTTATAAAAATAAAATAACTACATTTAACATCCCCTAAGAGTGAAACAGTAAAAGTACACTCCATCGCTATCTCATACTGATTTCTGTATTATGTTTGAAGGTTCATTTCATCTAGGACTCGTGTATGATAGCGTGTTTCGATGATTTCGACACTTAATCAAATCCTCTACGACTGTAACGTCTTTATCCGACTGTAACGTATTTATAACAACTGAATCATACACAAATCTTATATACCGTGGGTGTAAACCAGTATAATGCAACTCACTTAAATCGTATGTCTAGCCAAAATCAGATCTACTATCATTTAGAAAACTGGCAAGTACGAACAGATAGACAGGCAATATTTTTAATGAATGTTCGAGCTTTGATGTCGTGCTAAAGACGTTAGAATAATAGTGCTAAATGTAAATTTAAGATCTATCTTCACATCAGCAAATGAGTAAATTCATTTACTAACTGTAAGGCATAATGTTATACACACTATATTCATATTAACTACTAAATCATTGAGATAGGCTCAGCAATTTTGCGTTTCCGGTACAGACAGCGCGACGGGCGCATTCTCGCACTTAAAATGTACAGCTTTATTTCTATATTTCTATTTACAAGTGAAATACATATAATAGCTAAAATATCTAACAAAATCACTGATCATGCCGTTTTATTACGGATGTACGTAACAATGTTTTATGCCACAAATGAGAACGAAAATTATTCATGTACGTATAATGAGCAAACTTTAACCTTATATTTTAAACATAACAACTTCCGACAACCCGCTGGAAACTTTGTTTCTCTTTACTGAGAAGCGCTCGCTTTGATAATCTTGCAAGAATATTGAAAAAGCGAATATTAAAAATATCTGGCTCATAATAATGTTATAATTTGAAATTAAACTGAGTTAAATGCGCTAGAGAAACTACTATTACTTTGGAAAAATATTCACAAAGAACCTAAGACAATAATGGTCTCTATTAAATTTTATAACAGAAATTCTAGTATTTTTTGCGATTTCAATTACATTAACGTAAAGTGGTATGTAATATTATTCTTATTATACTTTTATCTATTATATATTTATTCTATCTTCGTTCCATAACAGGGGAAAATAGAGTTACGAGTTAGTAGTGATGCCTTCGATTCCCGCTTAACTTATAATATTAGTATTGCCCAAATACTTTTTCACAATAAGCTGTACGTACTGTCATAGAATTTCAAGAAAACTCTAAAATTTGATGGACGTTTTCTTATAATGTCCTAAAATTATTGAGCAAACATTACAATAATATTCAGAATGAGTATTTCCGTCACGTACCTTAAAACGACTAAACGTAACTCCACAGACGCGCTCAGCATTTCAAATGCTTCTGAAAGACACAAACAAACAGACACTTGTTTAATAAACTAATATTAGTTTAGAACTGCAAATTGTAATTACATCAAAATAGAATGTTATTCCTACCGATGCACTAAGAAAACTTTACAATGGTAACGCTTTCGCCTTTTCGCTAAAAACCAGTCAAGCAGGTTCAAACCCCAGATGTCTCGCATCTTTGATATTTTCGTTTATTCATATTCGATTACCATTCACCTTACGACGAAGGAAAACATAACGAGGACACCTGCATGTCTGAGAAAACGCAGTTTTTTAAAAGACATGTACCGATGATCACCCTCGTATTCTTTGATTTTAAAATGGTCCGTACCCAGCTGTGGAACATTAAAAGAGCTGAATTAACATGATAATATTGATTTTCTTCTGAGTTAAAAAGTAAAAGTTAAAAAGTTGGGAATTTAAAATCAAATTTCAATGTATAGTTTAACTCTCAAAGGACATAACGTTAAAAAGGAAACCGAGTACAAAAGCTCTCACTGGAGTCAAACATGCTTTGCGCACGTACTCGTATGTACGTTCAAATTAACAATTCGCAGTCGACACGAAGTAGATTTCTTATTAATTTAAAAGGATATTTAAATGCACTTGTTTACTGCAAACAAGCTGTGAGAGAAGCGTTATTTGATTCTGCATATTGATTTTTGGTCGAATATATCCTTCTTTTATAAGAAACTGAGTGCGTGATAAATTAAATATCAACAAAACCTCGGACTGACTCCTTCTACTTCTAGGTTTAAGGGTTTTTAGTAAAAGACTTGTTATCTCTGCTTGTCAAATATACAATACAATTAAGTGAGGATTTTTTAACTCCACGATAGCAAAAGTCACGATATTGTGAATAATTATATGATTTTTTCTTCTTTCCCACAGTATTTTTTTTCTGCGGGACGTTATTCTATCCAAAAAATTATCCGTCCAACATATAGTACCAATTTCAAAAATCAGTATATACTATTTCATTCTATACAGATAAATAAAATTGAAGTGTTTGCTTGTAATGTCAAAATAACAGCGTTTTACTAAATGCATATGAAATTATATACGGTACTTATAAAAAAACACAATTTTTAAATTTTTTGTCTGTCTGTCTGTTTGTTCCGAGTAATCTTTGAAACGGCTGGGTTGATTTTGACGGGACTTTCACTGGAAGATACATACATACATATGTAGGCTACTTTTATTTTAGAAAAAGAATTAGGGTTCCGCTCAAAAAAATTAAAACGTACCTAGGGACGAACCCGAGCGAAGCGAAGGTGAGTCGCTAGTATTTATTATATTTTCTGTAGTAGATACTATAATAAGATTCTAAAATAAAAGAGGTACTTCAGAGATCACAAACAGACTCTTAGTCTTATTTATATAGATGTCGAGACATGTTGGGCCAACATCGTGGTACAATCTCTACGAGACGTGTACGGTGTAGTGCAAGTATACGCATTAAAGTAATGGATGTCTAACAAACGCTTTGAAACAGCCGTGCAGTGGAAACGTACCTACATACGAGTACTTGCACTCGGTATACTGGATATATTAGTATTTGGCGTCGCAATTATCACGCCGTTTCTAATGGGACAAGCTGAGACAACTTAAAGGATTATACGAGCATTTAAACTTTTCGTAGGCAAAGCTCGTTTGCGGCAAGTGTTTAATTAGATATATGTACACACATATGGCATTATAATTAGGTACATTAAATTTATAAAGTCATATAGGATAATTTTTCAGTTATAATTTCAGAGTTAATGAACTGTATAATGTTGAAAACTTATTTTTTTCTAAAAAATTGAAGTTATGATGTAATGTTGGTAGTAAAGTTAGTGAGATATTTTTTTCTTAGATTAATATCGGTTCTTTCGTGTTCGATTTCCATACGAGGCAATCACTACAAACATTAATTCTATTCCCGTATGCTCTAATTGAGATTATAATTTCATTCAATTTATTACAAAAGGAAAAAATAGATCTATTATAGTATATTTGTTTATGACACAATATGTGAAGATATTATCCAATTAGTTTTCTGAACCCATCATCAGATTAGGTGGTCCAGGGGTCGATGCTCACGTACGGCACGAAACCGGGGAAGCCGTCCTGCACGTCAAGTTCCTCATCAACGAAGGCGCCCTGGTCACAGCCACAGCGGATGATCAACTCCACCTTTGGACTTTTCGCCAGAAATCCACTCAACGGGTCCAGTCACTCAAATTTCAAAGAGAACGGTATGTACTAAAAATGGAGTGTTTTGTGTTCATAATTAATCAAAATCTGTGTGTCTGTATTTTTCTTTTTTAATTTACTTTGTTTTTTTCTATATTCTTGTTTTTATTAATAGCATGAATATGTATGTTTAACACAGTTAAAACATACCCATATTGGGTCACATTTCAATTTTTTTATAAAATATCCATGTTTTATTACAATCAGTCCACTTACATATTATTACTAACATATTATACTTATACTAATATACTACTGTGATATCAGATATGTTATAGTACATTTACTCTCATATAAAAGGAATAAAATTATTTGATGAATAAGTTTCAGCCAAGCTTCTAAGCTCTGGCCCAGACAGTAAAATATTATACATTCTCGTTAAAGTAAAACACTCTTATACACTAAAATAGACCAAATAAGACAATTAATTTATATAATTTGCCATTTGCATGGAAATGGGGAAAATATCAAAACCGATTTACATAGCTAACAAGTAGACCCGCAGTGTGCAGGCGCGATACGCTCCCGATGTTAGATTCTGCAAAATTAGTATACTAATTGTTATTAATGAACCCTTTTAATGGTTTTAATACATGTCTAACTATAGTTAAAATTGTATTTTGTTACTTTTATCATTATTTAAAGGAATATCTTTATCATTTTTCATTCCTGGAAGACATACATAAAATGTATGTATACTTTTACATACAATATGATCGAAATCATTGTCTTTCCAAAAAATAGAAATATAATAAAAAAAACACATAAAATTGTTAGTATTTAATATTTTAATTAGTTATTAAACGTTTTAAATAAAACTATTATTTTGGACTTTTAGAGACTGATCTCTTCTGTGATTGCTGTAAAGTATTCGAAACGTCGTCGGGTACAGAAAATCAAAATAAATCCGCGAAAAAATATGAAAAAGACAGTTTTATTTAAAATGTCGAATATTCGCGTAAATCTAAGAACGTATTATTTATTAAACGTAAATTTAATCAGACATTACGATAGTTACTTGAAGCTGCGTTATCAAAGAGCCAATAAACAAATTCTACAGAAGCCCTCATTTACTTAGAATATTAATTCTCTATTAAATTAGGACCTTTATAATACATTTTTAGTTTTTAGATATCTTTGATAAGGCTGTTGTTCAATTACCAGATTTTTTAATAAGATTTCTATCCTACGTACAACCAAAAAAAAATAATAAGTTTAATTTTCTCATGTTTAGAATTAGTTGGGTTAAAACCAGTCCTGAGTGAAATTTAATTATCAATTAAGTATTTTTTTAATAAGCTTACTTTAAAGCTATATTATTGATAAGGCGCTCGCTTGAACATTCAGTGAAACAGTTCAATGGCAAGATTTTTATCTACGAATCTCATTTTCAACATTAGTACCAATTTCTATTACGATGAAAGAAAATGTCGTGAGAAAACCTACATGTCTGAGAGAACCTAAATAGCTTTCGACAGGTGTATGAACCATTAACCCGCATTTGGGTAGCGTAGTGGACTATGGCATAATCCCTCCATATTGAGAGAAAACCATGCTTCGTATTGGAATGTTAAAAAAGGTTGAATTATTGTTTTTATTATTATCATTTTAACTGTAGAAGTTGTCAGAGAGCAAATCTCTACGCAAAGGTCGCGGTTTCGTGTTCTCAGGACTTATATTTGTATGAACAGGATCACTGCATGTCTTTCCATATGTTATATTTTAATAATGCCTGTTGTACGAGTATAGGTACCTTATTTTTCAACTCCACCGAATAAGAAAACTGAAACATGAAGACAGAACAGTACATAGTCGAAGTCGTCTTTGAATATTTTCTACTCTTTAGGAAGGGATGTCTCATGTGTTCAAGATGTTCTTATATGGAACAAATACAAGAAAGTTCTTTAAAGGGAAATTGAAGGTTTTTACTTGTTCTTCTTAACAGTTAAAGTTCTAAAGAGTTAACGACTGTGTTGTAAAATTTGCATATCAAAGTACTAAGAAAAGCTTAATGCAGGAGGTAAAACGTCTGTTGAGTGTTGTTAGATAATTTGCTCAATTTTTCTTTCATTGAGTAAAAATTAAACTTTTCTGTGTTAAAAAGTCGTCAGAATTTATAATAAGAAATTTTCAATTCTCTTCTTGGTGTTGTTAAAACATAATACATTATATTTCTTTACAATCCCTCTTTTAAATCTGTTCAGAAATTGACGGGTAATAGAGTGGAATATGTATGTATAATTTTTTGATTTCTAATGATATAAATATCTACCTTTATGTTATCTCCATGTAATGGGTTTGAGTCCCGCTTTCGGCAAATATCAGCCACATAAATATTTTATGTCTTCTATGTATGTTTCACGGACCCTGACACAGAGCTACCTAGGCAGTATCGTCGAGTGTACAACTTGCTATTCGTATCTTCTCCATTCTACGCGACATTAGCGAAGTAATAACTCTGTCTAAAACTGACACGCTTTAAAACAATCAACACGAAAATTGAATTAAATTGACAACTTGTTACATTTTTTTCTTCTTTATTCTAACTACTTCTACTAACAAGGTTAATAAAACGATTTCTAATAAAGCTTGTGGCAAGGCTAACTTTTTGTCGTAAGTAGTAAGGGTAGTAGTAGTAACAAGAAAACTAGCCCTTTTTTCACATCCTAAACACTCGCAGACAGAGACTTCATAAATACTCTGTGAATCACAGAATTTACTTCTGTGATAAATCACTAACAGTAGCTAATTTCATTGATTTTAAAACATGTAATTTATTTGAGGATATTTTGGAAAAGAGCTCGTAATTTTAGTGTCATACGAATAGAATTGTTAGGGTGTTTGTTTATTTGCTCTCATTTACTTGATTAAAAAAAAGTTATTTTATGTTTCATTAACGATTATATACATACAAAGTAATCTAACACTGAAGCATGAAAAGCAGAGGTCGTTAAAGTTAGTTAAACACTAAGTTAAATCTAACTAGTTGTTAATATTTAAGCCTCGACAGGTAATATATGTATGTATGCAGGAAACTATCTACCGATACCGACCAATTAATTCGATATCAAGTAACGAGCTAATTGTTTGTGTTAAATCAAACAGAATGAAGTGATATTGTGTCTACGGTATAGACAATTGTGTAAAGTTGTTGCTGTATTTTGTATATAGAAAAACTACGTATCTGCTTATCTCCCAGTCTAGTGACTAACTAAAACTGCTGCCAAACTTAAGGTCATAGGTTGGAATTCCGGAACAGAGATATATTTATCTGTCAATTCTCTTTACAGTGGCAGTCTCAAGTGTGCAAGTTATTAATATATGAAAACATGTTGATTATTTGACTGTTAGTGTTTATTATGCAACGTCACAGACTCATCAATACAACATAATATTCGTGTAGGCATAGCTTGCAGCTACACGTGTCTGTGCAGGAATTGATACTTCAAACTCTGGCCTATATCTATAGATTCATCGTGAGAATGCACAGTAGGAATGAGACTATCTAAATATAATTATTTTAGTACAATCAAGTTCTTTTTCATTCATTAGTGTTATATTAACAAAATAAAAAAAAGTTACATTTTAAGCTAATTTTTATATGTTTTGATAAATAATTCCCTCAGTGCCAAAAAAAAATTGTGCATATATAGATAGCATAAAACCAATTTAGATGCTGACATGGATTTTACCTCTAGCATTGAATTTTTACTTACCTACTAATAACACTTGTTTCTATTGAAACTATATCGTAATAGTTTCAAATAGCACAAAGTTTTCAAATTACTCACAAACATTTGGTGCACTATACTTACTTTATTACTGATTTACTGTGGCAATAACAGATCATTTTTATGTATTTCCATTAAATTATATATTAATCTAAAGATATTTTCAATAGGTATGTTCGTACATAACAATATGAATGGGTGGAACGATTTATATTGCATATTTATATTTTGGTTTTCATTTTAGTGTACATAATTTTATGTATATCTTTAAAAAAATCTATATAAAACCTGATGAAAGTGAATATAATTTTCTTATATTACCAACAGTTTGTTATTTAATATTAAATTAAAAGTTTCACCAAATCCAGTCTAATAAGACGAATATGTACGAACATATATTTAGATTTTTTATTCCATTTAAAGTTTGTTATTGCCTAGTGAACTCTCATGTTAACGCACACTACTAGGCGTGATTTTGCACATTGTTACAGATATCCCATCAAACTATCACGACAGACCAAAGAACTGAAAGGGTGAGTGTGTGTTAGTTTGGTGTCTGTCTGTCTTGCCACTAGAACCCCGTCCCTGCCTGTTGCACCGCTATACAGCATGTTTAAAATTAATATACCCACCCTTTGCACCTTCCAAATGTGTAGATTGTCGTAGTTAAAAAAACATCCTGTATCTTATTAGAATATACCTACTAGTATATAATTAGTACCACCCCGTTTACAGTATAATCAGAATTGCCAATGTATCTACAGGCGATATTATTATTAAAGATATGCTTAATCCTGTATCTCGTATAAGATATTATATACTATTTCATAGGTTTGGTAACTCTAGGTCTTATGTAATTGCCGGCATCAGATACTAGACAAAATAGTGGGCGGTTTCCTGCAACATAACGAATAACTTTATCATGGCATTGTCGAGTTAGGCCCAATTTCACCACACTCTTTAGAAGTACTAAATGATAAGAGTGATAGGTATAATTGTTTCTTAGATTTTCTTTTAAATAAATTGCGACGACGTTTCGAATGATTTATAGTAAACATGGTCACGGGAGAGACGGTCGGTCTTATATATAATTTTATTTAACATGTGAATTGGAAACATAGTTTCACTCTTTCGACAGACGATCGCCTGCCAAATTGCACAATTCGCATACTATTCGATTTATTGAAAAAAAGAAAATAACGCAACAGGATGGCGGACATCCAACATAGTAAAAAATATATCTGTCTCCATGTCAATTTGTTTGCCACTCAAAAAATACTAGGCAGATTTTTCCGATTTTATTAATATTTATAATAATAATGTGTTCCAAACCATTATCGGCCAATCTCATTGAGAGTAGCCATCTGCGCAGGAGACTTATAGTGCAGCTCGTGTACGCGCAGACACAAGTGCACTTTCTATTCCTGTCACTCTCATACTCCGGTGGGACGACTGCACGACACGACCGGTGAGAGTTAAGGCGCAGGACCGACCCGACAAGTACTCTCCGAGGTACGGGGGTGATTTCCCTTAAAAAAGACTCAATAACTAAATTTGGCCTGCCCGAGACTCGAACCCAGAACCTCCGGATGTACAGCCGTACATGTTAACCACTACACCATCGAGTCAGTTAAATAGTAATATTATTATCATTGCAAAAAAAAGAAATAAAAGGCACGTCCTCCACTTATTTACTATAACTAGTACTTTGAAAGTTAATTTCCATCGATGTGTATTAAATTACACTCGTTTATTGCAAGTGCAAACTAAGAAATCTCATAAGAATTCAGCCGTAAGAAGAAACTTAGCGATATTATGTTCATCTTATTTACCAAAAATATTAAAGTGTATTATACCAATCACTCACTCTAGTTTATCTTTAGTGTATCTAAGTTTATTTTTTGTGATACAATAAATTCCCATAAGAACCGCTTAATGTACTGGATAAGGACAGCTAAGCAAAAATTCCACCCATTAATCCTTTGAAGGATGACAATCAGACAAGGCAACACTTTCACAATTATAATATTATTCAAATTACGATATATTACGGTATGTGATTTATTGAGACTGTTAACTCGATGTATAACAGCTTTTAGGGGTTAATTTTTGTCCCGAAATAGTCTCATACGATTCGGTCACGTTTCGAACACTTTTACCCCGAGCTTTAATGAAGCTCGAATGACTCGGGTCGGACCAATCATACTTTGTTCTGTATACTTCCGAGTGCGACATTTGCTTCGAATTGTTTGGACAACGACTGAATTATGTTAGCTTATTAAAATACTATATGTAGATATGGTTGGTGATTTTGTTTTGTAATGAAATCGTAATTAAATAACTATTTTAAATAAAACTATCTTTTCGGATTTTTTTCGCGGATTTATTTGGATTTTTATTTTCCGACGTTTCGAATGCTTTACAGCAGTCATGGTCACGGGAGAGACCGAAATATTTTTATTTAAAAGGTCAAATATTCGCGTAAATCTAAAAAAGTATTAAATTACTTATTTTTTTTACGTATTTTTTTCGGTTTTAATTAATTACAAGGGTTAGGGTACAACCAAGGGGTTTGACGTTTCGTAAGTCATTTTGTGGGTAGACACCGTCTGTAGCAACTGTGAACCATAGACAAATCGAAAAATAGCTTAAATTATAATATCAAATATTCGCATAAATCTAATAAATTGTTAACGTAACAATTTCATTCACTGGGTCTTATTAACATTACTTCATTATTAAATCTCCCTCTTCATCTTTACTGAAGTTTAATTATTAGAAGTGGCGAACTAAATTTCTGATTAAAAATATTTTAGTGTTTGAAATTTTAATTACCTGTCGTTATAACAACTTAAACAATTTGAAGAAAATTTTATATGTTTTAAGAAATAATATACCTAATGGTATTTGTAATGTAATCCTGCATAAAGTTTTTGTATTGATCTCAAAATATACGAGTAACTTTAGGTCTGATACTCGTAGCTATATAATAAATCACAGCTACCGACAAACCAAAAACGTTGGCATCGTTTATAATTTTATTAAATCTTTTATTGTCTTACGTATTACTTTCCTGCGCATCTGGCTAGTCGCAATGAGATTGGCCGCCGTGGTCGAAATCGGTCGGATGGACATTAGGTATCGTATTACTTGTTTTTATTTAATATAAAATAAAAAAAAATTGTTAATAGCTGAAAAGAGATAGTGTAGATTTCCAGATTTTTCAGAGATTACACAGAGATTTCAGAGAGTCTCGTACATACAAACAGAATTACCTCGTTATATAAGATCATAAGATCTATTTGTTGTTCACCAAGAACTTATGTCATGCAAATTTCTAGAAATGGGAATTAAAATTTTGATAAATATATTTGTTGCAGCTCTTAAAAACTCAATCTGTACAGTAAAAAGGTTTTTTTATCCATATATTAAACAGAAACATGCAAACACGACGAGCACATAAAAATAAAACAAACCCTAGGCGTGAGGCAACATTGCCAAAAGCAATTTGCTCGAAGATTTTTCGCCGACATTCGCGAAACATAAATCGTAATTTAAGCGGACATATAGCATCATTTGTAAAGCTCATTTCCCTAAGCGCGAGTACTCGACGTGAGTCCCATTACCCACTAATATCATCGTGGACTTATTACTTCTTCCTATATACTATACGTCTATATAGTATACACGTAATATATAAACATACTATGATGCATACTATGACTTTTGGGACGTCAAAAACCCCAGTCTCTCCAGTGACTATGTATGCATTGGAACAAATTCGATTCACTTAAATTATAAAGAAGAATGTACGTTCTGGTTATTTTTTAAAACTAGTGCCTGTCCAAAAAAAAACACATCGGTTAAGAAACAGCTGAGAAAAATCAAAAAGGTACTGAATTGTTTTGTCTTTGCTTATTTACATATTATGTATAATGTACATATAGATAATACTACTCATAAGCAAATTGTTAATTGATATGATTGCCATTAAAAAAGGCCAGGGCAGCTTTTAACGTCGTACTTACCTTTATTATGCTTAATAATATGTAAAGTGCTAATGAACTATGCACTGGAAGCTCTGGCCAGAATATTAAAGTTTTGAAACAAAGGTATTAAGAAATGAAAAATGTAAAGTAGCTTATTAGTAAACAAAGCGAAAGCTTTGGTATTTAAGCTTCTATTATAAATTTTTCTATGCACTATCTTTATTTATGGGATAAATGGACAGTCTAGTTTTGATCTCGGTACATGAAGTTAGTCTCCTGGGATATTAGTCTGTCGTATAGAATTATCTAGATTTCTTTTGAAATTTATATGGGACTACCCTTAAGGGACCTTAACCTTTTCTTACTGGATAGGACACAATGAAATTTATAAACGAATTTAAAATTTGAGAATGTATCGAGTATATACGAATACATATATATTACATATATATTATATGTATATACACAAAATGATATAGCCGAATAACTTATCCTTTACGTACGTAGTCGCCCAAAAATATTCTGTGTAATTTGAACACTTAAAGTTAATTATATTTATTTATAAAATAAATATGTTGTCAACTTGATTCATGTTTATTTTAGGTCGTTTCTAAGTCACTGTCGTCTGCTTCCATCAAACACAGAGCTTACGAGCTTTTTTATATCGAGCTTAGTTAAGCTTCGTTTTTGATGTTTCATGAGCATAAAGCTCAGGTTATGCCTGTGATAGGGCATAAGCAAACATGGCACAAACTTGTAGAGCCGAATTCAGCATATTCCGCTACACATTTATTTAACATGCAAAATAAATAACATTAAAGTTAACGGCAGGCCAAACTCGAGTAATCTGGTTTTATGCTATAAGGTTTATCTAAAAATATACTAGGATGATCTTTTATACCTTATAAAGGTGGCTGAGTGGCGTATTTGTACATGGGCTGGTTACCGTTATGTATGTATACGTATAGATAGACACATATATGATAAGTAAAAGTCATTTATATATGATATTTTTGGCGAAAAACTTTTAAGTTAACAATGAAATCATTCGGCTATGAAACTCTGAAAAATATTTAGGTTTTGATCTTAGATAAAAACTTGACACAGGTTCCATGCATTCAAAAATAATTTTATTAGCTGCATTCTATTCAGAGTCCGAAATATTATTTATAACTGGTTAGCTAAGCCTAGACTAAAATATCTTATAGAAGTATGAGATAGCGCAGCAAAAACTTAGATTATATTATACCCCTATAAAAATCGTCTACACAAAAACTAACAATTTATCCATAAAACTATGGAACTAGTATAAAATGTGTACATTCGAAAAATAATAACAAACAACATATATTCACAGCTTACGTTTGAAACCAAATCTCGCTAACATCGTACTTGAAATAGAAACAAATTACAATTACCAAAAACCCGAACAAAATATGGGATAAAAACTATCCTTTTTGAAGTAGCAAAGCTGTAAAATTTATTACATATATTCAATTTTCCTACATTATGTTAACTCTGTTAGTTTTTGGTAAATAAATATTTTTAAATCTACTGACCGATTCAATTCGAACAAACAAATGATTTGTAAATAAATCAGACAATATTTCATCTAAAACAAAAGAGCACTGATTGGAGTACGCGTGAATCGTTTTAGTTCCAAACCAATTGCCGGTTTGTCCGGTCAAAAGGTACAAATGAATCCTCACCTGCCTTTTTATATCCTTTGAAAAGATTAATTTGAACGAAGTGGTTGCGCTCGCTTTGTAGCGTTAATGGCTGTAAACGGGATCTCTATTCGATATGAAAATATAACTATAAATAAATGTGCAGTGTACTAGCAACTAACGATTAGTATAGATTTCTCAGAGATGAGATATTATCCTGTAGTAAAAAGTATCCTATATGTTGATCCGGATAACCAGCTATCATCATACCAAATTTTAACAAAATCTGTCTAGTGGTTTTCTCGTAATGCGTTCCCAGACAGACAGACAGAAAGACAAAAATTCTTAAAATTATAGATTTGGACTCTGTATCGATAATAATGACTCTTTCAATAATATTTTACAAATAATACTTAATATACAGATTCGACTCAGTTAGCATTTTATTATATGTAAAGATATCATATACGGTAATACTCGTAGTATAAAGACGATTTATATATTAATGTACTTGGTCTAATTCTGAAAATTCTTTCCCATGTCAATGGGAAATGATTATATTGTAAGAAGATAATGTCTAAAACACCCATCTTTGGCTGCCTTAAATGTCATATATTGTATATACATATGTATGTACATATCAATCAAGGAAAATATTTTAGATATTTAACCCGTTATTCCAATAAAGGTCTTGATTTTCATCAAAGCTACTGCTAACTTTCAAATAAAATTTTTCCAAATATTCACGTTTTTGGCAATTTATAGTTCAAATTACATATATTACTGTTATTTTTAACTATATATATATATATATATATATATATATATATATAGTTATATATATATATATATATATATATTTCTATATATTTGTATGTAATAAACATGTTTCACCTACCGCAGTAGGCAGTACGACGTAAGTACGCCCGAATATAATTTAATACCATGTAATTGGTAATGTACTGGTCGCGTGTTCGCTATTTATTATATTTTCAATAATTCAAACTAACTACAGTGATTATTTATTACTTTTTTAATTTATTGAGCCTGCGTCATGGTCGTATTATGCTTATTATAATGATCCAAATTTTATTAGTTACTTACCTAAAAGTAGCCTATGTGGTAGGTACTCTAGTGAGCCTAATTTGTATACTAAACATCACAATCCGAAAAGCCACTTCAACTTCAGCTTGACGGAGTAACAAACATACAAACTTTCGCATTAATAAGTATGATTGATTTTATATTTTTGTATTATATCGATAAAAAAAACTTTTTCTATTACTTACGGTTTCAAAAGACCAACTTTTCGAAATTCTTTTTTAGGAATTCGTCTCGTTTGTTTGCGAATGAAATATTGAATATTCGATAAAATATTTTCATACATATCTGTCCCTCTTGTATCGCGACCGCCGCTTTGTAGCTGTTGATTAGTATAGAAAGCTTCAATAGGCTCCATAGAGCCTGAACAGAGCGGGATTGCCTTTTGTTTATTACCGGCGTTTGGTTTCCACTTCGTTTTATACTTCTTGTTACTAATCTTTAATACAAACTGTTATTTTGACCTTTTAATAAGCATGTTTATTTCAAACGGATTGATAAATCGGTATACATACGTATGTGACTTAAAACGTTACCAGAGCTTTAAGTTTCAGAAAACTTATTGAAAATTGTTTAATAAGTTAAATTTAGAATACATAATAAAAAGAACTTCATTGATTAATTAGATTTTAAAATTGACATCGTTTACTTATAAAGCTGTCAACCCGCACTTGGCCAGCGTGGTGGACTATGGCCTGATCTCCCTCGTATTGAAGGGAAACCTGTGTCCAGCATTGGAATGTCCAAAAAGGCTGAATACATATTAAAAAAATTAAACCTAAAGTAATGACTTGTATGTTATTTTCTGGTACATAAAAAAAATATTAAGGCGGAAGAATACTTGTTGCTTAGTGTTTCATTCGCGGGATAACTGAAATAACTGACGTACAGAGTGAGGCTACTTTTTCCAGAGCATTCATGAGTAGAAAGTTTCGTTATAACAATATTATTAAACGCTAATTCTTCTCAATGTAGATGAAAAATATAAAAATATGTTATTTAAAATATTAAAATGTCCGCCGTGTTACAGAAAGTAATTCATTTAACGTTCAGGTTCAGGCGCGACGCTTTTAATGTGATGGTTGTTCCAACAAGAGTTTTTCCTTTGTTCTCGAGATCTTTTAGTAAATACTTTAGTAAAATATGTAGGTAGAGAATCCGCTCCGATGCAGCTTAAAGAATGTGTCGCTTTATATAAATATTACTTGTATGTAAATACTAGGTTGTATCCATATTATTAATTATTATTATTATTAATATTATATATGTGAAAGTTTGTTTGTTTGTTTGTCTTTTTCTTGTTTTTGTGTGATAGTTACTAGATATATTTTTTATCACGGGAGATTATCTCATATCCACAGGAAACGTATTTTACGTTTTAATTTAACTCAAAAAAAAATATTTATGATCAGAATTACTTGAAACTTGGTATTAATCCTCTTCAATATAATGAAATAAATACGTTTTTGAGCATTTTTCGATATTCATCCCATATGGGGGGAAAATATGGGATAAAAGCTTGTATGAAACCTACCTTTTTCATTGTTTTGTAGTTTTAGTGCAATGAAGCCGCGGGTTCTGTTAGTTGTTATATAAATATATAAAGACAAAGCAGTTCATTACCTTTTTCTTTTTTATCAACGGATTGTCTTTTATTTTTGCTTATTAACTTTTAACGAGCTTTAGCTTTTAATGATCATGGTCGAATTACGACCATTATGTAAAAAACTTAAAAAATTGTAAATATTGTTAATTTGATATCTATTACATATACCAACCGTACGGTTTTTACAGTATACAAATATTTTCTTTTAATTTCTACAATCAATAAAGGTTGTTGAAAGACAGCTTGTTTAAGACCCCAGAGGAAAGATATTAGAGTTTTAATATTAGAGTTATTACCAATAACATATTATACACGTATAATACATTATCACTACAATAATAAACCTTAAATAGAATTCGAACTCAACACTTCGACAGTCCCAGAATTGGCGACTGTTCAATATATTGATTTCGTTGGAAACAAAATCGTTTTAATTTGAAAAGCAATCAATCCGTAAATAACTACAATAAAGCGAAACTCATATTTATACCAAAATATTCGCTAGGACTGCTTTAACGAGCGTCTAAATGACCAATCCGGTACTAATATGAAGTTATGTATATAGACCTAATCTGGCTTCACCCAGGGCTACACACACGTATTTCTATATATGTATAAGTATGTACAACTAAATTAGCTACTTACTGGCTGTATATATTGTATCCTCATTAATTTTTAGGTTATCCGTTATATCTTTTATATATTTTAATGTTAGTATTTAAGCAATAAGCATGTTCCGCATGCACAAAAGTAAATTATTACACAGTTAGTGTACCTACACACTACAGTTGATTTAAGGTTTTATCTCGTCTAGTTTTGTTTTCAGGACCCTTGCCCCGCCAGTTTCTTTATATGAATTCAAATTGTTATTATAATTCTAATTTGTAATGCCTCATCGTATAATTTTTCTATAAATATAATAATTACGTGCCATCACTATATGTGTAATAAAATATGGCCAGGCAACATCTTTCCATGTAAAAAAGTACTCAATGACCAGTTTTCGCTTTAAGCACACAAAATTTTCGAAACGGCTGGACCGATTTTGGCGGGACTTACACTGGCAGATAGCTGTTGTTATAAAGAGTAACTTAGGCTACTTTTATTTTAGAAAATGAATAGGACGTAGTTATGCAAAATAGATCCAACCAGAAAAAAGTACTTTTGAGAAAATAGGTGTTTTAGTGAAATTGGTAGGTAGGTATATCAAAATAACAAGACCGCAGTTCTTTATGAAATTCCTCTTAAATATTGGGTATTTTGTCTACTTTCTGTATATAAATTGATATGTAGGTGCCATTTATGACAGTAACTCAAAAAATGGTTTTCGTGGGATGGATCCATTTTGTATATAACTATGTCCAATTAGGGTTCCGCGCAAATAAAATTAAAACCTATAAAATTGTAAACAAAATCTTACCTTTTTTTTTTAATATTGGGAAATGCATTTACGCACGAAGTGTGGGACTCACCGGCGAAGCCACTAAAACCCAACAATACCTTCCCCCGTCTTAATGGGGCGTCGCAGGATCGCTTACGCATTCAACTACGAAAACAAAATCTTACCTAGGGTAACTCGCCAGTTTTATAATATGTAACAAAATTTGTATCTAATTTAGTATGTTTGTTCGCAGCATCACCTGCCTGCACCTGCCACTCCAGTCCAAATGGATCCACGTGGGCACGGAGCGCGGCAACGTGCACGTGGTCAACCTAGAGACCTTCGCGCTCAGCGGGTACGTCATCAACTGGAACAAAGCCATCGAAGTGTAAGTACCTTGTACTATTTACTATATTGTAAAACAATGAAACACTTTTCCTGATATCATCGTTATATTGGCAGTAATTAATAAAATTTATATACACAACAGAAAATCATACGTCCGCCCAAACGTCAATCAATATGTCTTCGTAGTCATACTTTTCCTGCCTGCCTGGCACCTGCGTAGACGAACACCACAGAGGTTGTATGAAGGCTTCTTATTGATGTCTTCGAATAAATTAGCGGCGCGTAACAATATTTCTTGTATCTATAAATATAAATGCGAAATACCACTCACTGATTAATAATAAAATCTCAGAAAGATATCGGGGGTTCTTGTGGTTCAAAGAATTTATGGAAATTCAACCCCTATAGCGGTAAAAAGGGGTTGAAAGTTTGTATGAAAATCCGTTATTTGTAAGCTGCGCGAATAGCCGTGATGCTGACCGAACGATAGAAGAGTTTTACTACTACAAAGTAATTTAGGTAAATTGCTCTATGAAAGTTGCCTATTTACTCATTTTGGTTTCATTTTAGAGACGTCTATATACATTTTTATCTAAATATGATAAGAAAATAAAAAAATACTAAGAAAATGCTCATAAAGTTGTATGAATTTGATGTTTCAGTTAATTAATATTGTATACGAAAATAACTAAAATTATGACTTTTTATGCTATAATAAAAACTTAACGAGTATTCTTAAGCTTTGACTCTGTCAAAGTCTAAAAGGGTCAAAGGGGTTGATAGTAACAACAGTTAATTAGTTAGTCTCCTGAAAATAATGTATTTAATAATTTTCATTATAAGTTTATATAAACTAAGTATAAACGCGTTTATTATTAACATTACAATCTACTTTGGAACTCTCAAAGTTTAAATACGATTTAGATTGTATAACTTTTGTATAGTTATTGATAAAATGTAATTAATACTCAACTAAGAAGACAAATTGGATTCTAAATCACTTTGACATATTGTTTTGCACTTTATTTTTTTCTTATATTTACATATTTCGCCCTTCTATTTAACTGCAAATCTTCTATATAAATAAAAATGTCTATTCGTATGTTTGTTTATCCTCTATGCGTTTCTACACCATTGATCTGATTATGATGAAACTCTGGTGGGTTAGTGTGTATACGCCTGCGAAAGTTCCTGGTCCAAATCGAAAACCTAGTCCATTCCAGCTTACGGACGCATCCAAACGAAGCGATAGTAAATCGTTTTATTTGTCTAGCTTTATATTAGAAACTAATTTCAGTACGACGTTAAATCCAATTTGAAACCTAAACGTTTCACAAGGAAGTAACAAGTATCTATACCTATTGGTGAAAGAAGCAAAGCCACGAGATATAGCTATGCTATACACTATAAATGGAATTCAGGTAAATTATACGTCCACTATATTTTCACAAGCATTTCTGTTTCACGATCGAAACCAATGTCCTTTCATGTTGCAAATTCGTTACAACACCAATATTTGATATCAACTCAATTGAAAGCTCTAATTTGTATTGCTATTGACATCAATAGCGGTGCAAATTAAACTAAAATGTTTATTTGATTTGTGTACTAACTTTTACATTAAATGAATTAGTTTTTTCTCACTTTAAATATAAAAGTGTTAATTACTAAATGCGAGTGAAGGAAAACGTCGTCGTTTCAGAGATTTTAACTAATTTTTGAAGACTTGCTTAACCGATTTTTTAATAAATATAGTCTTCAGGTTCTGTACAAAAATATATAACATACTAGCATTGAGCGCGGCTCCGCCCGCGTTCAGATGACAAAAAAAACCAAATTCTTAAGTTTTACATATTAGTATACTCCTACATTGCAGTTTTGTATTTTTTCTCATACATGAGACACGGTAAAAGTATCCTATATGTTGACCCGGATAACCAGCTATCACCATACCAAATTTCGTCAAAATCCCTCCGGTGGTTTTTCTGTGATGCGGTAACGGACAGACAGACAGACAAAAATTCTAAAAAATAATGGTTTCGGCCTCCGTATCGATAATAATGTTTAAGTCAATAAGATTTTCCAAAAAATATTGAATGTACAGAATCGGCTTTGTTACAATTTTATTATATGTATAGATACGTTTCAGACGTCCAAAATCTTAGTCTCTCCCGTAAAGAAGTTTGCTACTAAAGCACTAAACAAATAAAAAGCTACTAAACTAACTAAAGCATTCAAAAGGAAAATTAAAAACCAACATAAATTGCGAAAAAGGTCCGAAAAAAATAGCTTTATTTGAAAATGTAGAAGTGATGGTATAATATTTTTTATCGATTATAAAAATCCGACGTTTATCAACAATTTGGAGATAATTTTATGTGAATTGTTACACCTCGAATAATGTTCTCATCGAAAATGTATAATCATTCAAATATCTTTAGCTTTCACGCCAAAGCCCATCAGATTCGCTCAAGCGTTATCTGGCTAAAATAATGTGAAGCCAGAAATATGCCAAAGTAACTTAAACTTTATCAGTCATCATTGTGTTCAAAGTTTTAGACGAAAATGAATATATGAAATCGATAAGTCAAAAGTAATTTCGTTGTAATAACATGTGATTAAAGTCTGAATAATAATGTGATTGATTAAAAGCTCGTACATATCGATGTCGAGCCACAAAAATATAACGTGGGCGAATTCGATATGTAAATTGGAAAATTGTGCACTACTGTATGTAATTACTTGTAATGCGGTTATATAGTATAACTAGCATTGCCCGCGGCTCCGCCCGCGTTCAGATGACCAAAAACCAAATTCTTAGGTTTTACATATTAGTATACTCTTACATTGCAGTTTTTGTATTTTTTCTCAGAAATGAGACATTTTCCCATACCTATATATAAATCCTATATGTTGACCCGGATAACCAGCTATCACCATACTAAATTTCATCAAAATCCCTCCAGTGGTTTTTCTGTGAAGCGGTAACAGACAGACAAACAGACAAAAATTCTAAAAACTATGGTTTCGGCCTCTGTATCGATAATAATGTTTATTTCAATAAGATTTTCCAAAAAATATTTAATGTACAGATTCGGCTTAGTTACAATTTTATTATATGTATAGATTATATAATTTTGAGTATACCACAGTTAATATCATTACTATGGTCTATGCATATTTTGTATATAATATATCATTCGCCTTCTCCACTTTGAAACAATAATATTCCTGTTAAAAGTTAAAACTGGCGAAAAAAACTTGGTGAGATCGTTTTTATTACTTATTTGATACTTATTAAGTTATACATTAAATTTTTCTTCATACTAGCTTTTGCATTTCTTCATTTAGCATTCAATTAGACTTATATAAGCACTTTTTAATAGTGAATTTAATTTAAAGAGCGTTAGTGTCGTGTTCGTGAGGAAGCCACCGCCGCCGGCTCGGAAAGCAGTTCTGCTGAGAAAAGCACAAGAGAAACTCAACAGATGCTCTTTTAAATATCGAGTTACATTTTTTGAATAGAGTAACGTGCTCTACTAAGTAATGTGTTTTCCAATTTTATTTTTAAATTGTATAAAAAAAAAAATCTAAGACAGTTTGTGGATTTCTTACATACGCGTATACTCAGGTCCATAAAAGATTTAGTCGCCTTTTGGAAATCTGGGCGTAAAAAGCCTTTATTTATGTATAATTACTCTGCTCCTAAAGGTCGTAGTGTAATCTTAGATAGCCTAAGTACACCTTTGGGATGTAACACAAAGGGATAAATATAAAGGAATAGGCAAAATAGCTTTCAAGAATGTTTGTAAAGTTAAAAAAGAAAATCTACAGTTTTGAGAATTTTCGTTAGTTTATTTACAAACTGAGTCAAACGACACTATTTTGAAATCAAATAATGCCTTGAAGAAATTTCATTAGAGCTGTCGAGTAGATCTATAACACGGTTCCGGTTTCACGTATAGCGTATGTTTAATAGCTTTGGGCAAAGTAGACGTCTCCGGACGAAGCCGCGGGCAATAGCGAGTCATTGTTTGTTCTCTAATGCTTATCCACAAACCGGTAAGCCTCCGTGAATGGCGTAATTGGTTCTGTCGCCGGTCGGCATTGTGCCGAAGTACGCCTGGCCCATACAGTGAGAGATAAACAATACTTGGAAAATTACCATTTCCCGGCAATTAAGGGAAAAATAATGAAGATTGCTTCGAAATATATAATGTTTTGTCTCGATACTGTCCCCGCTTAGATATGGGAGTCTATTATTTAAATTTTACATGAATTCAGAATTAATAATATTTAAAATTTACACAGGATCACTTTTCAGGCCTGTTCGCTAAAAAAGTTGGTTCAGAATAAATAGTAACAGAATATTTATACGAATTGAGTTCCTCCTCCTTTTTTGAAATTGATCAAAAGCTTATTGTATATAGAGCATGAACTAATTCACCACTAGTTAGTATCCTATAAAAGAATATGGTAAAAGAGTACCATCGTCTGAAGCACAAACGTATCTTGTTTTTCACTACCCACTACGCGAGCAGTCTCTATTTTGATTAACAGTTGAAGGAAATGCTCGAGATCCGCATCGATAAAATACTATTAAATATTTGTGAAACGTACCATTTAACGGGTGCAACGGATTTGTGAGTTCATTTCTACTCATGATAGCCAATAAAATATTTGTATTACATTATAACGCTGTTGTATTGTAAAAGCTTTTACGTTGAATGTATCCAATCCGCGACCTCTTACTTAGTACGAGTATAATTACACACTTTCCTACATTAAAGGAAACGATGGGAATTTGCCATTTTAATTATGAACAATGTAACAAAGCAAGCACCACAAGATACGTTGAATTAATGCGGCTGCAATAATGCTGAAAAGGTTTTTGTAAGAAATTTTATAGCGAAAAAGCTCGTAAAGCGGTGAAAAAGTCGACAATCGCGTATCTTTACAGGTTATTACAATCGCGTCCTGAATAGATTTAGCAACGATTCCGGTTTCAACGCCTTTCATATTAAAATCCCAACGGTTCTA